AATGACTTTAACTTTTAAAAGGAAACAAACTTCTAGATGTTTGCCTTCCACCCCTAAAAACCTCCTGCCTCATCCTCCTCCTCCTCATCATCAGCTTCTACTGTATAGGAGAGAGAAAGAGAGAGATCCTTTATGTGTTCATTCCTCCCCAGCAACAGTGAAGCATTTGGTGGTCTTAACAGCAGAGCCCCGAGGCCAGGATACAGTAGAGAAGAAAAGAGTTATGGTGAGAGAAGAGGTGGTTTAAAGTGGGCAGAAAGGGCGAGAACGTGACAAAATGTAAAGTTCAGAGGAAGGCCGAGTAAGGGGGGTAACAGAGCTGTGAGAGCAATCTGAAAAGCCTCATTACATCTTAAATAGGTAATCCAACCAGTAGGTGAGCACATTCCCATTAACCTGGCAGTGGGAATAACTTCCTCCAGGCTTATGGGTTATTACTTCCTTTCCCTTTACTGTAGGGCTATTGTTTATCCCCAGCTTGAAGTCGTACACACTGCAGTGCTGACCCTGACATCTGACCTGGACAATACGTGCTATTGTCTCTTGGTTTCTGTCCATTCACAAAAGGAAGTGGCTAAAACTGGTATGTTAAGTGGACCCAAGAGAAGAAATATATTATGATATCTTATTAAGAACCCCCATGAAAAGTTTTTTGAAATTTAATAAATGTACATTTGTGACATTATTTGAGTCCAAAGTTTGGATTGGCCATTGTTGGAAGTAATTAAAAGGCCAGTTTTTAATGTTTTTTATATGTATGATTTTTTTCATTACTTATTATACTTGTATTAGTAATTATCTTTAACATGTAAGGCTACAAAAGTCCTGAGAAGTTCTCCAAACATGAAGTGCATGCTCTTCTGCTAACTTTTCTGATTAGATATTCTTCTGTTTCGATGAATTTTCCTTTTTTGTATGAAACTGTCACTTGTGGACTTTCTTCTTTTTATATTCTTAACCTACTGGTTATTCCTCCTTTTTTTTTTAGCTTCTTTTCAATCCTGACCTCATTAGCGTAGTGTTGAACACATTCATTTAACAAGTAAAAGGTCACTGGTTTGATTCCAGCAGGAAACACAAATCCCTTTGGGGCTGTGTCAGTGAGGACATCTGGGGCAATCATGTACCCTGCTGTGATAAGCTTCTATCTCACTGTAAGTAGGAAAGAAGTTAATTTGGAAGTCAAAGCTGTCGATGGAGAATCGCGTAAACAAGATTAAAAATCAAAGTGAAGTCATGTAAATTTAAGGAAATACTTAATTTTCAGCTTTTGTGGTGATATGAGTCGTGATTAAACGTTAGGGTGAGCCACATGTCAACGCAGACTGCAGTGAATTTAAGTTTAGGATTTGCAGTTCTTGCCCTTTTTAGATAAGATAAGATAACCTAAAACACTAGAATAGGATAAGATAATAAGAATAAGATACTATATATAATAGAATAAAATTCAAAGTT